ACTCCACCCTTGAACATCTATGAACGGACAGTGACAATCTAGCTCAGAATGTCATTATCACTTGGAGAGACACACCCAAAAACTGCATCTTGTGTGAACCACAAAAGGCAAATGAAGCTGCATTGTGCCCAGTCACAGGCTGCATGGTCCCTGGACCACGTCCCTTTGGCAGCATGGCTACCACAGCCTCTCTCACACTCCTCAACATCCTCCTAAAGGGGATTTTCCAGTGCATATAGGCCAGTGGAGGGGTGATAGCCACTCCTTCTGGCCCTGTCCATGGCTCTTTGCTTACCAATTCTGACCTGGAGGAGATCCCTCAAAAATCCCAAAGCTCTGGAGCCCTGGACATGGCCATTCTGGCACCATTGCTCCAATGTGTTTTCTTTTCAGTGCACATGTGTAACTCCAGTTCAGATTAATGGGAGTTCAATTCATGCGGTGACAAAAAACATACCCTGAAGCTTTGAATAATCATTTTGCTTGTGTTGCATAAATGTTTTTCCACTGTAAGAAATTAAGTTATTGAAACTAAACAATCTTCTAGAAATCCTCTGGTGTGGCTGGCTTTACATTTGGCTAACTACAGATCATGATCCTAAAGATCATGGTCCTAAAGTTAGGCTATGTCTACACGGCCTCTTTTTTGCGGCAGAGGCAATGCAAATGAAGCGCTCATTAGCAACTTCTTGCGCTTCATCTGCATATTCTCTTCCAATGCTTTTTGTGGAAGAGGTTTTTGCACAAAAAAAGCAGTGTAGACGTGTCTGTTTTGCACAAAAAAACCATTTTGCGTAAGAACCCTTATTCCTCAAAAAATGAGGTTTACAGGTTCTTGTGCAAAAGGGCTTTTTTGTGAAAAACAGACACGTCTACACTGCTTTTTTTTGCGCAAAAACCTCTTCTGCAAAAAAGCATCGGAGGAGAATATGCAAATTAAGCGTAAGAAGTTGCTAATGAGCACTTCATTTGCATTGCCTCTTCCGCAAAAAAGAGGCAGTGTAGAGATAGCCTTAATGTAGTTGGCCACAAGGAAATCACTTTAGTGTTGGGGGAGACTTCTAGTGGTTTAAAGACAGTAGTGCAGCTCTTACACCAAACTCCTCCTTTGCCAGCAACATTCCCTACTAGGAATGTAAATTTCCATTTCATAGGCTAGTAAACACATTGTTTAACCTGTTAACCAATTAAAAGGAGAGGTACGGGAGCCCAACTGGAGCAACACCTGCCTACGGGGCACCTGGACCCACCACACAGAGAGGCTGTATTGAGCGATGGAGCAGTCCCTGCCTGTGGGGTACACGGGTCCCCTGAAGACAAGAGCTGCTCCGGTGATTGGAGTGCTTTGTTTTGGCACTACTAGGCAACACTGGGTAAATCTGCTATTACTGCATAATTTTAGAAAAAGAAAAGTGATTCATCTATCATGTATGTCTGCACTACATGGCTCCGTTGACGGAGCCATGTAGATGAGCTTTGTAGACATAGCAAAATGAAGCAGCGATTTAAATAATCACCGCTTCATTTACAGCAAAATGACTGCCATGCTGTGCCGATCAGCTGTTTGTCGGCTCAGCGTGGTAGTCTGGATGCTCGGCGGTCGACATCAAAAGCCTTTGTCGACCACCCCATTATCCCTCGTGGGATGAGGCATAATGGGGTGGTTGACAAAGGCTTTTGATGTCGACCGCCGAGCATCCAGACTACCACGCTGAGCCGACAAACAGCTGATCAGCACAGCATGATAGTCATTTTGATGTAAATGAAGCGGCGATTATTTAAATCGCTGCTGCATTTTGCTATGTCTACAAAGCTCATCTACATGGCTCCGTCGACAGAGCCATGTAGTGTAGACATAATTGAGATGATAATGTTTTTCCATGACTAGAACAGCCCCTGTTCGCAGCGGGCCCCTCACAGGGCTGGAGCAGCCCCCACTGGTTAACCTTAACCAGTAAACCTCATCTGTTAAGGATGAGGGTAACTGGCTAACCAGTTTAACATTCACATACTTAATCCCTACACCCTGCTGATCATTGGCAGTGTAACTTACACAAATCCTATAGACTGGAGCAGTTTCACCAGAGGGCTAGACCATTACAGGGCAGGTATACATCCAGTGTGGTGACATAAGCAAATTTATTCTTTAGAATCATTTGGTTTTTATATTTTATTATTAGGACCATTTAAGACCAGAGACTCTTCCATTTAACTTTTTGCAATGCTATTTCACTCTCGCATCTCAATGATTGAGGTGTTATTTGAGATCAATCACTTTTCTTTCTCTAAAATTATACAGTAATAGCAGATTTACCTGGCCTTGCCCAGTAGTGCCAAAACAAAGGACTACTCCTCGTTTCTATGTTTTACATGTTATTGTTTGCTTATTTTTAAAGCATAAATGCTGCTTGAGACTCACAATGTTTTACATAAGATTTATGTCAAATTGTTTGGCTTCACATGTACCACAGTGTACAGAAGGGAAGTACAAAATGTGCATATGAATGAAGCTCTTATAGTGAGTTACTTGGGTGTATAATACATCTATTGTACAATGTTAGCTGTATCTGACATAATATATATTACAATTCAAGTCTCTAAATTGTGTCCTTTTGCACTGGCTATTTTTCCTCCCAAAACCTGAGTGAATTTGGAGCCTGTTAATGTCACACTAAGATCTTTCAGCATAATAGTTACAGTGAAATAGGCATAGTTTGTCTCCTTTAATTCAAGGAATGTATGAAATGGAAAGTCCTTTCCTGTAACAATTCTTTCCCACTCCTGTCAAATGGATTTGCTTAGTTGCATTGTTTTTGTTTTATGAGCAAACAGAGACAACTTAAGGATGGCACCATACTTATTTTTACGTGAGAACTGAGCAAAGATTATTACATCTAAGCCTCTAGTTTTCAAATGTTAGTGTGCTAACTCATCTAGTCACCTAGTATATATATCAGACCTAAGCCATCCTTTTTTATTTTTAATTTCAGAGAAGACTGAAAGGAGAAACAATGCAACAAGTGCACTCATAAGCTAACTCACCCCAGTGCTGAGTTGTTTGTCAAGTTGCCCAGCAGTGATCAATTTGGGCTCCACATACACTGACTTTCAAGTGTGCAAATAATCAGATTAGACATGTTTGTAGCCAAAAGAGATTCTAAAAATGTATGACCAGCGCTTCTGAACAGGATCTAGTTAGAGTAGAATGTTGTAGCCCTAGGCTCCTAATAAAGCTGAACTATTGGTATTCTTACATTCTTTTTAGTTCTGTTCACACTAATTACCAAACTGTGATATAAGCTGTTTTGGCTACAGCTTGTTAAACACTGTCCCCTCTCCTCTGGAATTCTGCTACACACACTTAATAGCACTTCTGTTGAAATGATGCCAAGGGAATACTGCATTTGGGTGTTTCATGGCTGGGTTGTGTAGGCGCTCATGTTGGAACGTTATAGGGATGTGGCAGTTGAATTGCCTGCCCTCATTCCACACCTCTTGCAGAAGCAGATAGCACCAACTCTGCAGCTCCTGAGAGCTGCAGCAGCAGCATGCAGAGACCCCCTGGTCCTCTGTTCTAGGAGCCAGTGCCAGAGGGATGTGCCAGTCACTTTCAGGAGCTGTCTGAAGTGCCAACCCACAGACCCTCTCCTGCACCCATCCCCTTATCCAGAGCCCACCCTCCAGTAGTGGCATAGTCAAACTGGGACAGGTGATTGGGCCCCAATTTCATATGGATGTGCAATGACAGGGGGTAGAAGCGATGAGACTGCCTCTTCCCTTCACAGCTGGCCTTGGGGGAAGGGGAGGGATAAATGTTCTGCTCAGGGGCCACTTTAAAAATGCACCCTGTGCCCTTCACCTGTTCCATACCTTCCCTCCCCCATGGTGCTCAGGGCTTGCCCCACTCAGCATACTGTATGCTCTTGTTGGGAAGGAGGATCGGGCTTATCCTGCTCCGCCCGCTGGATGCTCCTACAGGAGAGTGTGTTTGGGATTCAGGGTCTTGCCCTTCTCTGTCAGGTGCTCCAGCAGGGGAGTGGTATTAGGGGCTTTCCTCACTTCTCCAGCCCACCAGCACTCTGGCCAAGGCATAGGGTTGGAAGCTTCATCCTACTCCACCTGCTAGGTGTTCCTGCTGGGGAGTGGGAGCAGGGCGTGGGAGCTTGCAGGCCCTTGATGCCACTCGCTGGCATGAGCAATATATGAGCAAAGCAGGGCTGTTAAGTGGGTCATACACAGCCAACCCAGGCCCACCCGTGGCTTCACCCCTGCCTGCCCCAGAGCCTGCACTACCTAAATGTCCAGTGGACAGCGTCAGCACGGGGTAGCTTCAGAGTGCCTGGGGCCCACTGACTGTTCTGCCCTGGGGCCCGGGGAACTGTGGGCCGGCCAGCTGGCCGCTCTTGAGTGTCTCTGATTTAGAGTTTGGACCTAGGGCTCTGGCGTTGCATGCTCTCCGAGCCCCCGCCCGTTTCTGCAGAAGGCCAGGAGCTCTGCCTGAGACAGTCTTGTTGACTGTACCAGTGGCACGGCCGGCAGCGATGCTGGGGTTTGTGCTACACAGCAACAATCAGCGCCCCGGGCACCTGCTCCGCACCGTGCAGCGCCCGCCCAGCGAGCTGCCGTGTGGGACCGATGGGCGCTGCAGAGGCCAGGAGAGAACTGGCCCCGGCCACGCGTGCTGCGCTTCCCCGCTTTCGTCGGCAGGTGGCGCCAGATACACAAGCCTGGCTACAGGAACGTACCATCTCACACTAACGGAGGGGGGGGGGAAGGGTAGGCTGATTCCTTGCTCTGCCCGCTGGGCAAACATGACGAATCCTGGCATCCCCCCCCTCTTGACAGCGGGGAAAGAGGGGTGGGGAAACTGGACCCGAATTCCCTGCGGCTCAGACTACCCCCATCTCCATTCTCAGGTGGTATGTCCGCTGCGGAGCCGCCCAAGCTGGCAGGGAAGTGGGTCTCCGGGTGCAGGAGCGAGATACCAGCCCCGCCCCTCCCGGTTCCCATAGAAACTGCCGGACTGACACCACCCCGTCTCCTTGTGGCCCCGCCCCGGGCAGGGACACGTCGCAGGGAAGCGGCAGCAGCGTCCGCGCGCTGTTGGAGCCGCCGCCTGCCAGGTGAGTCCCGGGGTGGGCTCGCTCCCGGCTCTGTGCGCGCGCGGGGGGCCTGTGTACTGGGGCACCGGGGTGTGCGCCCGGGAGAGCTCAGGGCGCGCATGGTACGCGCAGCCTCTGCGCCTCCACCTGCCGCCAGTTAGGGCTGACTCAGTAATTGCCCTGTTCTTGGGGCACCTGGCACTGGCTCTGTCTCAAGGCCGGATACTGGCCTAGATGGGCCTTTGGGCTGACCCAGAGCGGACATCCCTGTGTGTGTCCGTCCTATGCATGGGAGGGAAATCTGTGTAGGGGATCTGCATCCCGGCTGTATGTGTATTGGATGCAAATGGCAGGAGAGGTGTGTGCATCTCAGAGGGAGGGAGTGTTTCTGAGCGTGCATGTTCTAGTGTAGAAGTGCACACTGCGATGCTGCGGCTCACACCCTTTCCCTCCCTGTAGCAACATCCGGCGGTTGTAACAGCTGTGGTCTTTGCCGTAGTGTCAGGTGAGGCGGGGGAGGCTGAGTTTGCTGCATAGTTGCTGCAGGATCTCCTCCTTTCACTGGATCTGGGTGAGTTTCTGCCCAAACCTTTGCGTCTGGTCTGGCATGTGGGAAAAGGGAGACCTTGGGGGAGCAAAGCTGCACAGTGTTGCATGGTTGGCCATATGCTGCACATAGTCATTATTGATAGGGAAAATAAAAAGGGTAGAGAAACTTAAACCAAGTTGTGGTGTGTTTCGGACAAAAACCTTGATTATCAAGCAAGCATTTACCTTTGAACATCAGCCACAAATATTAAAGGTACATCTCAGGTTAAAAGTAATATTTTAAAACCAAACAATTTCATGTCTGTCATTTAAAATAAATAACAATGCGGCAATCTGAATTACTTTATATAATCTATTTTATGTTTTTTTTTTCCATTTAACTTTACCAGTGAAAGCAACCTGATCAATTTCACTTCTGTTAATCAATGCTGGAATGTTCTAAAAGTAAACTTGCATCATTTGGAGAAATCATGGAGAATTCCATTCATATGATTTTTAAGACGTCAACAAAAAAAGTTTTTGCTGGTGACAGGAGAGGGGAAGAAAGGGTGTATTATTAACTTGAGCTAGCTAATTCAATACAAAATCCTAGCAAAAACCAGGCAGTTTGTCATTTTCATATGAGTTAACAGTTTAGGTTAAAGCTCAGTCAGGTATGTGAAAATTACAGATTTTCTGGCCTTCTCTGTCACTAATTAAGGATGAACTTTTTCTGTAGTGAAGACAAAGTCTAATGAATTCACTGTCAATAACTTCATTAACTCTGAGAGTACTGGCTCCTTTCCAGACTGTTGAATGCACCTATTCTTAAAGCTCCCAGGAAACTGTTTCAGTCTGGTGAACAGGAAAGGTTTTATCTTTGGGGGAGGGATGAGTAGAACTTGCCCCTTAACTACCAACATTTTAAAGAATAAGTTGCTTAGAATTGTTTTCAGATACAGATTAACTTTGATGACTAAAATAGGAGTCAGTGAATGAACATTTTTGTCAATATTGCCAATCCCAGCTGTTTGAAATGTAGTCAGGAGCCCCAAAACTATGAGATGGGTCTAAAAATCATGAGAGTCTAAAAAAACTAAAACCCCTAATGTTTTAAGTTCTTCTGATTTGTGAACCTTTGGAATCCACTAAGATAATGTTTAAAAGCTTTGTTCTACAATCATGAAGACTCAAAACTTAATAGACAACTGATACTCTTACATTTACACAGCTCCAAGAGCTGGGATTTTAAGAGAAATACTAACAATTGTGAGACTTCCCATAAAATAATGAGAATTGCCACATTGTTAAATATTCACAGGAAAGCATTTTTTTAAAAATTGTGTTTCAAGTAATGTCATAGACTACTACAGCTTGAAAGAGTAGGAAAAATAACTTCCTCTCCCTCCCTTATTCTTCCCTAGTTTATTTACTTTGTGTATAATGAGTTCATCTGTGTAGTCACTCTCCCCTGCTTTTACTGTATAAATGACACACTCAGATTTAAGAGAGATAAAAATAAAGAAACTATGACTGAAAAGCCACAAATACTGGCAGTTGGGAATTGGTGTCATGCCTTAAATTACTTTTATTTCAGTTTTATAATTAAATACATTCTTTACCGTTCCCTTTCAAACATGTCTGCATACTTATTACACCCTTGCAATCTTTTGAGGTGTTGCTTTTGTCAGTGTTTAGATTTTGGTTAACTTTTCTTAATAGTGTATATTCATTTTAATTTGCCAGGCAGTTTTGGCTTGCTATGAGAACCTAAGATGGACCCGGAAGAGCAGGAGCTGTTCAGTGATTACAGATACAGAAATTATTCTTCTGTGATCGAAAAAGCTTTGCGGAACTTTGAATCTTCAAGCGAATGGGCAGATCTCATATCTTCACTTGGCAAACTCAATAAGGTACTAGATCTTGGAAGTGGGTTTTTTGAGGAGAGGACTGGATTTTTTTATTACTATTGCTTGCTTTGAGACTAGGACAGCTAAAGAGCTCCTTAATAATTAAGTTATTGTAGCACAGAGAACAATTATAGGTTGACTAAATACTGGGAAGTTTGTTTTTACAATCAATACAACTATTACTCTTGGAGAAATTCTATGACACTACAGACTTTGTGTGCAGACTTTGTCCACTGCAGAAGTGACTTTCTGATGGGGAAGTAAAGGGAAGGTGCAAGAATGGTCACATGTCCCTCTCCAGTAGGGGGGTACATTGTTTTGGGTACCCAGAGCAGTCAGTGAAGAGGTAAATCACACAGAGGGGGTGGGAGGATGTGGCTAAGGATGCCCTGCTGCCCATATGCCCAACCCCTGTGCATTCACACATCCCCATGAAGCCTCACGCCACCATACCTGGAGCCCCCTGCTGATCCTCACCCATGCACCTGGCCTCCCCTGTCACACCTGGGATTCCTACACTGCACTGAGCTCTACTGATAATGCCAGCTGGGCTGGGGTTAGAGGAGAGGTTCACATTGCCTGCATGGAGCAGCTGGACCCAGGTCAGACCCACCTCCAGAAACCATTCCTGGCTCTTCAACCCTCCTTCCCCTTGATTGCTGCCCCCATTGCTCCTCATCCATACAGGGAGAGGTCACTGTAGGGGAGCTGCTCCCTTGTATGTTCAACACCCCTTCTCTGCACCTGGCCCTCCCTTCCAAGCCCCATTCCCTGCACCCCCACTCCTGAACCCAGATAACCCCTTTCCTGTTAAACCCCAACACACAGACAGGCCAGAGTTTATTCTAATGTTTTTATGCCTATGTACAGAATAAATTTTATGTGCACCAATATGGAGATGATTTGTGACACATCACCCCCATATTGGTGCACATAACAAAATTCATTATACACATGGACAAATCCGTGGTGGATGGGGCTGAGTGGTTCGGACTATGGGAGGGAGTTCAGGCTTGGGAGGATGAGGACTCTGGTTGGGGGTGTGGACTCTGAGGGCCTGTGGATAAGGCATTTGGGGTGCAGGATGGGACTCCAGGTGGGGCCAAGGGGGTGGTTGTGCAGAAACAGGCACAAGACAGGAGGCTGGGGTGGGGATGGGGTCTGGACAGGAATTAGAGTGCAGGAGGGGGCTCAGGATTGGGGTGTGGGATCCAGGAGCAAGCTAGGGCAGTGGAGGAGACTTGGGGCTGGGACAAGGGATTGGTATGTGGTGCACTTACCTGGGACAGCTCTAACTTTATTGGGGGGCAGGGAACAGTTGACTCCATGTTGCCCCACGTTCACTTCAGGCACCGCTCCACACAGCTCCCGTTGGCTGTGATTCCTGGCCAATGGGAACTACGAGGACAGAGTTCTCTGGTGGTTGCAGTGATGCAGCGCCAGCCAAGGCGGGAGGAACAGCAGCGCACACAGCAGCCTCCCCACCAGGAATATAGATGCTCTACCGTTGGTAGTCCTGGGCTAAGGGAGCCCCCAAGCTACAGCCCTTAAAGTCCCTTTTTTAATCTGCCCTGCTTCCACCCCATCCACAGCAGTTCCGTGTGCAGTAGCCCCGAGTCCCTGCGTGAGGCTTATTAGGAGATAGTACAACTTAGAGGGAACCTTGAGCCAGACCCTTTTCTACATCCAAATACCCCCCGCCAAGTCCCAACCAGTTGCATCTGGACCTTCCATCCTCGCATCCAGATCCCCATCACCCCTACCAAACCCTGCACCCAAACCAACCCTTTCTGAGTCCCCCTCACTCAAGCCTCTACTATAAGCTCCTGCCCAAGTCCTCTGGACCACCCCGACAAGCCCCCTGCACCTGGACCTGCAACTAGAAGCACCCAGACTCCCACCTCACCCAGTCCCAGGACCCAGACTGCTCCCCCTGCCATCCAGATTTGCCCTGCTAAGCCCAAACCAGTCTCACCTGGACCCTCCTAGAGAGTCCCTTTGCCCCTGCACCTGAAAACCTCCAGCAAGCCCCTTGCATCCAGATTGCACCTGGATTCCCCTATCAAGCTGCCTGCACCAAGATTTCCCTGCACAGAATACTCACTTTACATCGTGCCTTTCCATGCTTGGATCCTTCCAGGCTGAACCTGCTTGCCCCACCTGGTCTGGTAGCACTTTATAGACTAACAAAACCTGTAGATGGCATTATGAGCTTTTGTGGGCTTGGCCCATTTCTTCAGATGACCGGAGTATTGAGTTTAGGGTGTGCAGACCCAAAATAAATAGGAGAGAAGGTGCGGGGGGAGGGAAACAGTTACTGGTAAATCACATCTTTGGTATCTTTTGGAGAGAAAGATCAGCCTAGATGCTGGCCTTAAGGCAGACTGGGTTGCTGTGGATATCACCAAATACATCAGGCAGACGGGTAGCCTTACAATCCTCTGTCAGAAGGCAGTGGAACACAAGGCCCTGCCAAGAAATAGGTGACAGCTAGAGGTCTGAGATCTGACTGGGTATTCCCAGTAAAGGTGCAATTACCCTGAAATTGTGACAATCCATTTTTTTTACAATGAAACTAAGCTGAAAGTCAGTAGAAATTGATAGAAATGTAGCCGGGTTAGTCTGGTGTAGCTGAAACAAAATACAGGACTATGCAGCACTTTAAAGACTAACAAGATGGTTTATTAGATGATGAGCTTTCGTGGGCCAGACCCACTTCCTCAGATTAAATAGTGAAAGAAATGGTATATATGGTTGTGACTATTTTCTTCCGCTATTTGATCTGAGGAAGTGGGTCTGGCCCACGAAAGCTCATCATCTAATAAACCATCTTGTTAGTCTTTAAAGTGCTGCATAGTCCTGTATTTTGTTTCAGTAGAAATTGGTGATTTATGACACCCTGATTAACTAATAGAAAATATTCTCTGGCACTTACAAGTGGATTTTTCAAGCACTACTGTAGAAAATAATTTACTATTTTTATTAAAGGTCTGTTTCAAATACATGTAAGTGTAGGATAGAAATATATAGTCACTGTGCTAATTTTTTTTATTTTTGTTATTGACACATTTGTCTGTTTTAAAGGCTTGCTTATGTTTCAAGCGAAAACTATGAAAATCATTTCTATTATAGATAAGTCTGCATATCTCTTTAACATGAACATTGAATCTTTGTTGCTTAAAACTTCTTGGTTCTTTCTCCTTGTATATAATTGGAGGACATACTCCTTGTTTGTTGTAAGTGCATTTCATGAGGTTTAAATAGCTTTTCATCTGTTTCCTATACTGTGGATGTATAGTATGACCAGATTTAAGATTCAGATTAAATGTGAGTGTTATAAAAGTAAGTCCCATATCCTTATTCCCTTAACCTATTTTGTCAGGTTTGTAATTTCTAGTACTCATGGCCTGTATAATCAAAATATATAAAGTCTTGTGGAAAGAGATTATTTTGCACCAGTGATTTTTGACAAACTGTTCATGTGCTTCTTACACCTTTTCAGTGCACTGTATATTTTTTGAAATAAGGTTATTCGTGTCTCATTCCTATTCTTGATTACTGCTTTTATCAGCATTTTTATTGTCTGGAAACGTGTGTGTGTTAACTGCTAGAAAAATATTGTTTTGCTGCTACCTAACAAAATGAATGCCAGTATTTAGAATGTTCAGTACAGACTGCTGTTGCACAGGATTTTGTCATCCTTTTACTAATAATCCTGGTGCCACAATGTAAACTGTTCTATTACAGATTTTTGGCTTTGTGTGCTAACAGAATGAGGTGAGGTTCTGTAAAGATACTGGTCTGATACCAGCTAACAGCAGTTTTTGACTGGAAACTGGTGCTGGTTCATCATGTGTGGGTAGATGAATAAAGTGAATGCTTTTAACATATGTGATTAGAGCCACAATATCTTTAATTAAATTATCTAAAACTTTGTTATGCAGAGTTAGGGTTGCCCAATAGTAGCTCATGCTGTTCAAAAACATCAAGTTCAGCAAAATTCAGCCTTCTGAAGTCAGGAAATACAGAATTATTGTAAAATGCCAACTCCAGGGGACAGTTACGACTGCATGGGCAAGGGCCCCTGGGAACTGTCTGGTTGCATTCCAACTGCGTTCACTGTGTTAGAATAGTGGTGTCGAAATAGGGTTGGTAGAGATGTTTGATATGAGGTAATCTGAGGTTTGGTTTGAGGAGCGTCACAGAGTTGCAACTGTCATAATGTGCAGAGCTCTAGGTCTGAATCCTCTCCCATTTGTGAGATCAAATGGAAAAGGTACATGTGTACCTTTTGAGGTTCCAGTCTGGATCGTATCCATATTAATTGTGTAGATTGTCAGGAGAAGGGCACTGGGGAAATCTTCCTGAGAGTACAGTCAGTAGTGATGGGATATGAGAGCAGTCTGTGGATTTAATTATAGGTATGGGAAAGTATAGGTTCAGGTGGTATCCTGTGTGCATGTGTGAAGGGAATTATAAATTGTTAAATGTAACAAGTGTGGTATTCTGTCGGGGGATTAGGCTCAGTGTTTGTGCTTAGGGCAGGTGCAGAGAGCAGAAGTCCTTTACAGTAAAAATGGGGTGAGAGGGAGAGAGATTTTGCGTTCGTGGGCTTCTAAGCTAGCTCTTCCTGAGCACCGACTCCCACTCCTCTCCCCACCCCCTTTGCTGCCTTTGATACAGAGGCAGCAAGGGGGGAGGGAAATGCGTGTAGTCAACAAGATTAACTGAGAAGTACAGGCTTATCGGTTAATCGTGTAGTCATTTAAACGGTGACATCCCTGATTGCTACAGTTATAAATTATTACACTGTTCTTTCAAAGCAAGTATACTTTATTCTTAAGGTCAAAACAATGCACATAACACATTTAAAATAATAAATGCCTACATACTTGCTAATAAGCTGACCAGAGATCACCCCAACTCTGGCACAGGCTCGGGCAGAACTAGTCCTTCAGAACTGCCCATCCAGGGGTTTTCTTGTGGCTTCAGCTTCTTCATAG